GGTCATGGCACCCTTCTAACTGGAGTTAAATTCTAGGCCAGTCTTTGCCACTGACTGGCATATCATGACCATGGCCCATGTACTTACTCCCTTTGGACTTTAATCTCCTCACCTATATAGTGAGTGGACTATGCTGGATTCCTATCAGGATGTAGGTCAGCTCTAATGAAACACAATTGTGAATCACAATTGCCACATTGCTACTAATAAATACATTTTAATGTACGATCCTATTATTTTACTTACCAAACAGTGCACTCATCATAGATATGTTTCTATTTTATGTAATGTTAAAAAATGAGAATAAGCAATAGGAAGGTTATAGACTAACATGTAACTTACATATGGTTGTTTTAGATCCTGAATAAGATACATTTTTTTTTAATTTTAAGCACTCATAAATGATGGCTATGAGAATCTTGGTTGTTTTCTACATCGGGGAATAGTCTATGCGCATCTGAAACTTTGGTTGCTGGCAATTTGTGACTTTGAAACTGTGATTTCTCTAGAAAGGTACATTTTTCCTTTTCGTATTTATCGATTTCCCTTCTGTATAAAATGAAAACCTGAAACAGGAGAAAAAGTTTCTTTCCCGTCATCATTGATAACCTAGTAGAAAATGAGACATTTATAAAGTCATCCTAGAATTGGAATACTACTTCTAAAAGCAAGATTACTTCTAGAATAAGACCTTCTAAACATCTGTTTGCCTCAGGTTTCTAAAAGCAAGATTACTTCTAGAATAAGACCTTCTAAACATCTGTTTGCCTCAGGTGTTTTTGCAAATTTTAGAAGTTAAATAAATTTGACAGGAGTTAAATCCATGCGTAAGGAATCAATACTGTCAAGAAGATCTTGTAGATGCCCAGGCTAGAGCCTTTTGAAATTAACTTTGTGGAAAACTGTCATTAAGTTTTAAAATAACGAAAAAATATTCTGCTTAGTATATGATCACTGTGGACAACATACGACTCAATGGAAGGCAACCTTCTATTTAGAACCTCTGGCTTCATTTTGTTTAGTAAAGCAAAATAAAAACGCTAATGTCATTTAGAAATTGAATTCTTCTTGGTATAATTTAGCTAGTACTGTAAGTTCAGGAAGAAACACAGACTGAAAGTTAAATGCAGTAGTCAAAAGTCAAACTCTAAATCACAGAACTTAATTAAAAATTCCCCTTTTTCCAATGAAGCATTTATGAAAATGGAAGGTGTCAGGAAGAGTAACTAATTATGCCAATTCCATGTCAACCAGCAGACTGTTTACTTAATCTATCCAAGGTGAACTTTGAACTTGACACAGGAAATTCATGGAGCATGGCTCCATAATGACCACAGTGGTTTTCTTTTGGACATTTTTGAGCCAGAAAGAAAAAAAAAAGTGTCAGCTCTAAATAGATGGAAAGTGAGTAGTAGGAACTTTGGTGTCTAGGCAAGGGGTCAGGGATTCTGTGAAGCTGGATTATTGGATGGGTGGCTTTCTCATTTTGAAATAGAAGCATCAAACATGATAATTTCTAAAATTATTTCTCTACTGAAAATAATTTGATTCTAAGAGAGATAAATAACATTTCTTTGATACATGTGGAGAGGATTTTAACCCCAAGCCATGAAACCCTTGAATATGACTGTTTCTCACTGTCACTCATGGCCAATAGAACACAGCTTGAGATAAAGACTCCTTAGTTGAGGAAAACTAAGCTTGTGACTCTAGGTAATGGAAGAGTAAATCAAGGAAGAGTAAAGTTTTGCTAAAAGTCTAGGAGACTTCAGGAATTCTGTTCCTAGCTCAAACTCTAAAAACATCAATTCCCTACTAAGGACTTTATAAAAGTGTTTATAATTCTTCATAGAGAGCATATAACTAATTTACTTTCCATTGTAAAACATTAAAAAATACTCTGATGAATACTGATGAATGTATTTCATTCAGTTTATTCCTAATTAGAGAACATTTGGAATAATTAAAAATATTTAACAAGATTTCACTTTCTCATTTTTTTTTAGAACTATTACTTTGGCTTATATAAATATTGGCCTTATACAGCTGCTACACTTGGATAACTATGCGGAAGCCATTTGGCAATTTTCTGAGGCTATTAAAGTTGATCCTTTATGTATTCAAAGCTATATCTGTCGAGCAGAAACCTATTTTAAGGTATTTAAGGCTGAGAACCATGATTTTTTAAAATAAACTTCAATTTTCTAGATATTTGTTCAACATAATTTTAATATACATATATTTTAGCTAATTCTAGGGGCTAATGCATGTATAAAAAATGTGTTAAGCTGGTAGAGTTAACTCTGATTACTCATTTGTAAAGTCTCTACTTTCAAGGTGTGCATTTTTATGTCTTTCATTTTTGAAGGTAATACCTGTTTTTTTCTTTATTACAAAAACATAATATATTTATTGCATGTAATATATGCATGTGAATAAGAATAAATTAAAAACTATTATCTATAATTTTATTCTCTGGGAATACTGCTATTAACAAATTGAGTCTATGGTCCAATGTTTGTGTGTGTGTGTGTGTGTGTGTGTGTGTGTGTGTGTATTACAGGTGAGTAGGCAGGTTCATACAATGGGATCCATCCATAGAATGGGATTCTCACCATTTATACTTTCCTTTAATTTTAAAAAATTTTTTATAAGTTGTTTAAAGTAAAAATAAATGTTACATGTCCCTGGTGTGACAAATTCAAACAGCACAATAAATAGGAAAAATCTTCTCCAATTCCAGGCAGATCTGATTTTCAGAGATAATACTGTTAACTCTTGTCTCTACCCTTCGAAGTAGACACCCATTTCCACTGCTTCACCGCTAACTGCCCTGTCCAAATACTAATTTCTCACCAGGATGGATTTTCAAATAGTAGCTACAATGATGTTGCCAAAACATGTCAGATTATTTCACTTCTTTGCTCAAATCCTTCAATAGCTTCTCTTGTGTTTAGAATAAAAGCTAAATTCTACAAAAGCTAAAAGTCTGCAAGACCCCACAGGAGTTAGCTCCTAATTGCCCTTCTGCATTTGTTGCCTGTCTATACTGGTTTCAGCCAGGATAAGCTAGGCTATGCTGAGGTTAAACAAATAAAATAAAAATCACTGTATTAAAACAAAGGTTTATTCCTTGCTCACACTATACATCCACAGAGGAGTATCTGGAAGCTCTGCCCTCCATTGTCTACATCTCAGGACCCAATGTGACTAGTGTCCCGTTAAAAGTCCTTACCCTGCTGACAATAGAGGTAGGGGACAGAAGGCAGGTTCAGTGTTGCCCCCAGGTCATGTTACCTCTTGACTCTGTTGGAGAAAGGATGGATATACTCTTAGTGTGTGACTCTTTTGCTTAACCTAACCCTGTTGATGGAGCTAAGACCATCTACAGAATTTGGAGTTTTCCCTGAGTGTATAGAGAAATCAAAGCACCAGCATGACAGCAGGGTGTAAAGATACAGTCAAAGACTGTTGTTCTGAGAGGCAAAAATCTCTACACAGTACTGACTGAATAATTTGTGGTGTATTCGCACCATAGTATATAACAAAAATGGTAAAATGAATAAATAGAACTATGCTAGCTGACTTGGAAGGTTTTCCATGAGATTTTTTTGAGTAAGAAAACTAGGACTCACAAAAGAGTGTGAAATTTGTACAATACAATTACATGTAAATAAAATACTTGTAAATAAACCCTCGTGCATGTATGTACAAGAATACATACTCCCGTTATGTGGGTTCAACCTGCTGGGTAAATTTAATCTAAGGCTGCCTGGTAGTGGTCTAATTCAGTGAAGCTTGGAGAGATCTGAGAATGAGCCTCAGTTTGGCTTAAGCCAAGGTTTCCTCAATGCATAGACATATATGGGTGGTTGAACAGGTGTAGCAATGTGGGCATGTGACTACATGATTTATTAATTACACCATCCTGAACAGGGTTAGCTTAGGAAGCAGCAGGCCTGAAGTTCCACAGAAAATTTCCAATTTGTTTAAACAAATCTCAGACTTCCTCCTTTTCTGTTCCCTGTTTTGAGTCTATCCACAGTTTCCTCCAAACATTTATACCATCTCTACAGGTACTGCCTGCTTCCATGCACAAATTAGTTTTGTCCATTTGCTTCTTTGTATCATTGTACCATTACAATAAAAGGATTGGTTGGTTATCCCAGGTCAATTTTGCTCTGGTCTGTATAGTGCTTCTTTGGTAATATTTCCAATAGTCGTTGATTTTTGTCCCCAGATTTGTACAAATTCAGATTGTGTTTCTGTGACCAGTATTAAGGGAATAATTAATGTTTACTTTTCATTATATATTGATGTTTAACAGATTACTTTTTCATAATTTTTATATTTTGTTATATTCATTCATTTACTTAATTTTTGTGTAGGCCTGTTTTTCCTTCCTTATTTTTAAGTGGAACAGAGTTTTAGTTTTTATCTCACCCTCTTTTGCATGCTATGTTATTTCTCATTCTTTTTTCTTACTATTGTTTTTGTTGAGACAGGGTCTACTATGTTGACCAGGCTGGTCTTGACCTCCTGGCCTCAGCAAGCACTTCTTCTGTCTCAGTCTCCCAAATTGCTGAAATGAGAGGCGTGAGCCCAGCCTCCATGCTACTTGATTAAGATGGATCAGGTTTGCTGAAAAAGTTGTTAGGGTTGAGGGAGAAAAACTGAAAGCTAAATGAAAAAAGAACACACACTCGTACACAATCCAGAATGTATTATATAATCACATTTATGTGAAATAGTATGTATGGATATGTATAATTATTCTTCAAAATTGAAGATAAATGATTTTTTAAAACTAAGAGTATTCCATACATTTGTGTGTGTGTGTTACTTTGAATCCCATTTGCCTTGTTGATTCTTGAGAAAAACATGTATGTTAGGAGATGTTCCTGCAAAATTCTGTAGTAAGGCATGGGAGAGGATAAATATCAGAAAGGAAGTGATTGGTATTGTTAGGAGCTAAGTTTCTGTTTATCACTCAACAGTTGCATAAATTGAAAAAGGCAGTAAATGAATTGTCTCGTGCTATCCACCTTCAGCCAGATGGAATCCAATTATACATAAGAAGGTATGAACATAGAAATTGAATTCTTCTTGGAATAACTTAACATCAGATATATTGAATGGGGATCTTCAGTTCTCTCTTGAGGCTACCCGTTTTACATTTAATCTCCCAGCAATTGCCATTTCCCCACCAGCAAGACAGTTTGTTAAACTTTAAGATAATTTATTACATAAGGTAAGCAGATTTTTCCCCTTGCTCTACCATTGCACCAAAATATAACTGTTCAGCGTTTAAGTTCTTTCACGCCTTTTTAAGTGACTATTCAGATACTTATCACATATATCATAAGAGTAAGGTAACATATTTTGAACAGTTGTTTTCATTATGTCCACAATCAAAAATAAGCATGTGTACCAAACATAAACCTCAGCTAATTCAGTGAAAAAAAAAGTGACATATTGAATTGTATACCGTTTCTACAGGTACTGCCAAGTTCCATGTAGTATTTCAAATGTAGTAGAACTTGCTATAAAGATATCCTTTGCAAGTTCTGAGTTATCAAAAATATAATCTTTTAAGGATTTATAGACCTGGGAAAATGGAATGGAACAATGGTTTCCTGACAAGGGCTTGCTTTGTCCTTCAACTACATTTTATCAATTTGTGTAAATATCTCCATCCTTTTATATGCCTTGAACTTTATCTTTTAATAGTTTCTCAGCAAAAATTGTAACATTTTAAATACAGATAATTGCAAAAAGGGATTTGAGTATTTTTCTTTCAGTGTTACCTGCCCTAAGTTTTCTCATCACATCACCATGTTAATTGGTGTATTTGGACTATATAAAATGTCTATAATTTTTATGCATACATAAGCAAATAAGAAGGAATATATTGTAAAATTTTAAGATTATAAGAAACTTTATAGATTATTTTTAGCTGCTTAGAGTCAAAAAACTATTATTTCTTCCAGAGGACAATATCTTCTTATGATGAGATGTTACAATCTTGCAAAGTTTACTATTTATCAAGTAGCAGAAATGGACAAAGGTAAATATAATTAATTATAACTTTTAAGAAATACCTCTTTAAATTTTTTATGCTATTTTGCAATAGTTAGGTGTAAATAGCATGAAGAATTCACTTGAAAGTCAAATTAGATTTTGAAACTTTAGTTTTATATGTACATCATCAATTAGTAAAACGATTCATAGTGAATTTTGTGAGAGAGATTTTTATGGGAAATATCAAGCTTACAATTTTTCTGTTTTTTGTTTGTAATTGTAATGTCATATATATATACATATATATATATATATGTATATATATATATATATATATATATATATATATATATATATATTTACTTCTCTGTATCCCATTTGCTTTGTTGATTCTTAAGAAAAACATGTATATTAGGAGATGTCCCTGTGAAATTTCTGTAATAAAGGGGTGGGAGAGGATAAATACCAGAAAAGAATCAATTGGTATTGTTAGATATTTACTGGTAGTAAATAGATCTTAGCATAATTGGTTAATTTTATAATTTGTTGATTTGTTAATTCACATTATAAAGACAAATTATTGAATTACTTCTTAAAATAATTATATTCAAAATCCTTGATACTTGGCAAAGATATTGATAAACTTAACTTTTCTTTTAGGTCTCATCGAGTTGAGTCCTATACAGCAAGCCCTCATTTATTCATTTTGTGAAAACCACGACAAGGCCATTGAAGTCTTGGATGGAATCAGTTGGAATAGAAATGATATGACCATGTATGCTCTATTAGCAAAAGTTCAAATGAAGGCTAAGAGAACCAAGGTGAAAAGTCCTCTGAGTAACGTTTACTAAACCTATGAATGAAGTGTATATGTTGTGTTTAGTATGCCACTTTAAATATTTTTCACAAAATTAGTCATACTATTCATTTATTTTTCTGTAAATTAACATTTGGGTTATTTTCTCTCTTTTGTTTGCCCCCTCTTAAGAATAGGGCTTCCTAAAATATTCTTTTTCATGTCTTCAGTCAACACGTGGAGTAGTTTTCCAGGATATATATCAAGGAGTGGAATTGCTGGTATGTAGAGAGAGTGAATGTTTAACTTTTGAGAAAATGATACATTGTTTCACAGGGTGGTACCAATTTATTCTCCCAGCTGAAGTGTGGATATATTCCTGTTCCTGTTGATCTGCATCTTTTACAATAATTGATATTATTAGGCTTTATTTTTGCCAATTTGATGGATAAAAATTGATGTCTGGTGGTCTTAATTCCCACTTCTCAGTTTGAACATCAGGTTGAGAATCCTTTTATGTTTATCAGCCATTCATATTTCCTGTTCTATCAATTTGTTCATTCATCATTTGTCTTGTTCTTATTGATTTTGGTCATTTAAGATATAAATTCTGTATACTAATCCTTAATTGTATACCAGGTATCTTCTTACAGTTTGTGGCTTGTCTTTTGTCTCTATGGTGTTTTTTGATGAACAGAGCTTCTAAAATTTAATGTAGTTGAATATGTCTATTTTAAAATTTGTCAACAGGGTGCCTGAAAAAATATCTTAAGAAGCCCTTTTCTACTCCAAAGTCAAGATATTCTTCCATATTTTCTTTGGAAAGTTTAACTTTTGCTTTTTCCATTTAAGACCTCACTCTATCTTAAGATTATTCTCTTTTAGCATGAGAGAGTGATAAAATTTCAGTTTCCTCCATATGGATATTTAAATGTTTCAGTATCATTTATTGAAATGTTCTTAACCCAAAAACCTACAGTGCTACATCTATCTTATTACACGTTTTAACATATGTATGGATCATGTGCTATTTTAGGTTCTCTATTCTGTTCTTTTGGTCAATTTTTCTGTTACTGGCCCAGTAGTGCAGTGTCTTAATTGCTATAACATCATTGAGATTATTGATATCTAGTGGAGAAAGTCCCCACACCATATTCTTCTCCAGGAAACTCCCGGTTAATCTTGAACATTTACTCTGCCATATACATGTTACATTTAGCTTGTTCAAAGTCCATTAAAAACTCTCTTGACATTTTGAATCTTTAGATTATTTTAGGGAGAATTTACATATTTATGATATTTAGTTCTTTAGTTTATGATCATAATGATGTATCTCCCCATTTACTTCACGTTTTCTTTTAAATAGATTTTACATATCCTTTGCTAAAAGTTTTCCTAAGTATTCTCATGGTTTTTGCTGGTTTTAGAAAGGCTATCCTTTAAAAAAAATTATGTTTGCTGATGATTTATAGAAATGAAATTGATTTTTGTATACTTATTTACTAGCTAACCACCTTGCTGAACTTGCTTATTGTTTCTGAAAATGTTTAGGTCTGTTCTTTTGGGTTCATAATTAGAAAACTATGTCATCTATAAATAACAATAGTTTTATTTTTTCCTTTCTTTTTATGTATTCTGTTTCTTATTCTTGTCTACCTGTGCTGACTAGAAACTCCAAGACAAAGTGACTAAAAGTGGTGACAAAGACGTTCTTATTTTCTTTCAAATCTTAAAGGAAGTTTACCCCACTGTGAATAAAGTTTGGGACAGATTTTTGTAGATAATTTAAACAAAGTAACGGTTAAATAATCTTTCTATTTCTGTTTCGAATTTTATCAAATTATTTTTCATCAGGTATTGAAATGATTATTTTTTTATGCTTTAATAGGTTAATGTAGCAGATTGTCACATATGAAGTTAAGTAATCTATGGCATAATTTAGTGTTAGACCAACCATGCATTCCTGGGTTAAACTGGCTTGATTGGAATATATAATCTTTTTGTATACATTGCTAAATTTGAGTTGGTCATGAAGATCTTTGTGTCTGTATTTATGAGTGTGAGATTGGTTTTGTGGGATTTGAGTATTGATCTTACAGTTATTTGGAGAGTATTTCTTCTTTTCTATTTAGCCAATTAGTTAGTCTAAAGATTGTAATGATCTTTTCTTTGAAAGATTATTTAATGCTTTAATATCATATGTTTAATAAACATTAGCCATTATTATTCCTTTTTCTCCCTGGGCATGTAATAGTTTTTATAGGCTTCATTCCATAAACATTTAATCATGAGAAACTAACTTTAGTATAGAAATTTTAAAAACCTTCATTTTTGCTCTCTTGATGTCTCCAATTATTGGCTTTTTTCTCTTTTCTCTGGCACAACCAAATCCTGGAATTTTTTTTTATATTCCTTATCTTCATTTCCTCACTTTCCACTCATTACACTCCTCACCACAATCTGGCTTCTTTCCTCTTGTGATGACACATGATAAGGTGGCCCTCAACAAGTTGTTCCCTGTGTGACCTTGAGTGTGAGTGGAACCTGTGACGTGCTTCTAACCAATAGAGTATGGGAAAGACGATGGGATGTCACTCTCATGATTATATTAAGTTGCATATTAGACTGGAGAGAGAAATTCCATTCCTGGTCTTAAAGAAGCAAAGAACTATACTATTAACTGCTTGTAGAGAGGGTATCATGACAGGGATACCCTGCTGTGGCCTTGAGGACCTCAGGACAATCTTCATCCAATAGCCAGTAAGAAGCCTGTGCCCTGAGTCATGCAGCCATAAGGAACCAAAACCCACCAACAATCAGAATGAGCTTAAAAGAAGATTCTGAGGTTTCAGATGAGAATGTAGCATAGTTGACACCTTGACGGAAGCCTGGGAAACCCTAAGCAGAGGACTCAGCTCAGCTATGCCCAGACTCCTGGCCCCTGGAAACTGTGAGATAAGAAATGCATGTTGTATTAAGCATTAAGTTTGTGATTTTTTTTTATTTTTTGCAGCAATAGGAAAATAATAGAGATTTTAGTTTTGGAAATGGAGTGCTGCTATAACAAATATCTACAAGTGTAGGAGCAGCTTTGGAACCAAGTAGTGAGCAGAGGCTGGAAGGATTCTGAGGAACATGACAGAAAAAGCTTAAATGGCAGCAAACAGAATATTAGTAGATGTCTGATCTTTAAAGACACTAATATACTCTGCAGCAAATGAGCAACACGTTATTTTTATTTAGTGGTTAAAAACTTAGTAAAATTTTCCCGTGTAGTGGCGTGGACAGCAGAACTAATAACTCAGGAGCCTGGTTATACAGCTAAGATAATTTTCAAGCAAGGCGTTGACAGTGCTGCCAGCTTTCTTCTTACTTCTAATAGTGTAAGTGTGAGAAAGGAAAGATAAGTTAAGAACTGTTAAACAAAATAAACCAGGACTTGTTTGCGTGGAAAATTCTTAACTTCCTTAGATGGCAAAGGAGGATAAAATACACTGTCAAGAAAGCATATTCTAGAGAAAAGGACAAGGTGTGACTGGACAACACTTTGCTGAGATCTTAGAAGGATCACGAGGGCAGAATATTGAATCACACTAGTTCTCTTTCCTTTCAAGAGATTAAAGACATGCCTTACAAATCTTCTTAACCAAATCTGAGGATCTCTAGAAGCTTAAGGGCATTGTCCCTCAGGCATCGCAGCAGGAGGCCAAAGTAGACAAGAAATTTTCTTGAAAAAAATTGGTAGATGTGGCTTTTGTCTAATGAAGTGAATCCCTATGAAATCCACGGAAGATCCCCAAAGTTTTTAAGAAAATTATTTCTTGATAAACACTGACAGTTTAGACTCCAACAGACAGAGTACCAAATGAAGACTGTCAGACCTCAAAATCATTTTGGCAGGAGTAGATTGATAAAACAACTCAGCTGCATACATGTACAACCTTTTATAAAAAAGAAAAGAGGACCCAGAAGGCAAGACTAGGAACCCAGAGGATGACACTAAGAGCCATAAATGTTTTGAAACCTAATCAAAAGACTGAGCAACTGCCATGGACCAGTGGTTCCTTTTAATCTTCATTTTCTTATTTTTAAACCAGAATGTCTGTAGCTATTATTCTGTGCCTGTCTCACCATTGTATGTTGGGTGTTTTGGGGATGGATAACTTGTCTCTATAATTTTACAAGTCCACAGATGGACAGGAATTGTGCCTCAGGAATGGGACCTGGTAGATTATACTTAAATGCCTCATCCAGACTTGGACCTGCTTTAAATGATGAAATTTTAGATGTTGAGCTGATGCAATGAGCTAAGCTTTGGGAGAACTTGGAATGGAGGCATATATTTTGCATGGGGCAAGGATGTTAAATTACTGGGGGCCAGATCATTAAAGTCATCTGGTAGATACATGCTAAGATTATTCTTAATCATACCCTATATTATCTTCTCCCCTTCCTTGAGTTTGGGCAGGACCTGTGACTTGCTTCTAACCAATAGAATATGACGAAATTGATGGGATGTTGCTCCCTCTATTATGTTGTAGTATTTAGGAACTTCTTCTTAGTAGAGTAGAGAAAGAGAGTCTCCTGCTGGTCTTTTTGTGACTTCCTGTGGAGAGAGTGATGTGGTGAGGAACTGTGGGCAGCTGGGACCTGAGTGCAGCCAACAGGCAGCAAGCTGGTATCTCATTGTGGTTTTGATTTGCATCACGCCAGTCAGAATGGTGATTATTAAAAAGTCAAGAAAAAAACAGATGCTGGCAAGGTTGCAGAGAAATAGGAATGCTTTTATACTTTTCAACTATTGTGGAAGATGGCTTGGTGATTCCTCAAAGACGTAGACATAGAAATACCATTTGACCCAACAATCCCATTACTGGGTATGTACCCAAAGGAATATAAATCATTCTATTACAAAGATATATGCATGCATATGTTCATTATGGCACTATTCACAATAGCAAAGATATGGAATCAACCCAAATGCCCATCAATGATAGACTGGATAAAGAAGATGTGGTACATATACACCATGGAATTCTTTGAGCCACAAAAAGTAATGAGATCATGTCCTTTACAGGAACATGGATGTAGCTGGAAGCCATTATCCTCAGCAAACTAATGCAGGAACAGAAAACCAAACACTGCATGTTATAAGTGGGAGCTGAACAATGAGAACACATGGACACACAAGGAGGGGAACAACACACATTGGGACTTGTAGGAAGAGGGGTGGAGGGAGGCAAAATTAGGAAAAATAGCTAATGAATGCTGGGCTGAATACTTAGTTGGTGGGTTGATAGGTGCATCAAACCACATGGCACACATTTACCTATGTAACAAACCTGCATTTCCTACATATGTACCCCAGAGCTTAAAATAAAATTTTTAAAAAATGAAGCTGGGGCTCTCAGTTCTGGAATCTCAAGGAAATGAAGTCGCTAACAACATTAATGAGCTTGGAAACTGATTCTCTCAGTTGAGTTTCCAGAGGAGAACGTAGCTCAACTGACACCTTGATTAGAGCTTTGCAGGACCCAGAGCTGAGGACCCAGTTAAGCCATGCCCAATCACCTGACCTGTAGAAATTGTGAGATGATAAATGTGTGTTACTATAATTTGCTAAATGTGTGGTAATTTGACTTGCAGCAATAGAAAACGAATGCACCTCTGGTTTGGAATCAAGAACTCTTGCTAACTTCATTGACTTTCTTTTTCTCCTTTTTTCTTTCTTCCTCCTTCTTCCTCCTTTCTTCTCCATCCTTCTCCTTCCTTCTCCTTCCTTCTCCTTCCTTCTCTTTCCTTCTCTTTCCTTCTCCTTCCTTCTCCTTCCTTCTCCTTCCTTCCTTCCTTCCTTCCTCCTCCTCCTTCTCCTCTTTCTCCTTCTCCTTCTCCTTCTTATTCTTCTTCCTCTTCCTCTTTCTCTTCTTCTTCTTCTTCTTCTTTTTTTTTTTTTTTTTTTTTGAGATAGAGTCTTGCTCTGTCATCTAGGCTGGAGTGCAGTGGCATGATCTTGGCTCACTAACTGCAACCTCTGCATCCTAGGTTCAAGTGATTCTCTTGCCTCAGCCTCCCAAGCAGCTGGGATTATAGGTGCATGCCACCACACCCAGTTAATTTTTGTGTTTTTAGTAGAGACAGGGTTTCACCATGTTGGCCAAGCTGGTCTTGAACTCCTGACCTTAGGTGATCCACCTGCCTCTACCTCCCGAAGTGCTGGGATTTCAGGTGTGGGCCACTGTGCTGGGCCCTCATTGACTTTCTTATTGCAGATTCTGTGATCATTTCTCGTTGTGGATCATGTCTACTTTTTTGTTTACATTTGGAGTTGTTGGTTTCTATTCTTTGAGAACTGCTTTTTCATATTTGCTTTAATCTCCTCTTCCCAGCCTGCTCCCTGTGACTGTAGCTGGATACCTGATGTTACCATCAGCTCCCTTCTTCCACCCAACAAATCATCATGTTCTCTTGGTTCTACTTCCTAGATATTTCTCAAATCCACTTTCTTTCTTTACTTCTATAGTTATTATCCTTGTCTGGAACATATAATTCAAAAAAGTTTTCTTGATTTATATAGCTGCATTGTTGTACTCTTCCAAGCTTTTATCCATACAGCAGCCACAGTACTTTCTGCAGGCTGTAAAGATGCCTTATCTGTAAGCCCCTGCAGATCACACTCAGATGACACCATACACTAGTGAAAGAGAGAGAGAGATGGAGGAAGTAGGAGGAAGTGAAGATGTGTTCATTTTAATTTAAATGGGATGGAAGGCTTGAGTAGACAAGTCTTTATGGACCAAGGAGTCAGTGAAGGGACAGAAATCTAAGGAAGGAAGGAAAGAACAGGCCGCAGAGATGGGGCAGGAGGAGATGGCGTCAAGGACAGCTTTTGAGGCATTACCTCTGCAAAAATGGAGAAAGGAAACAATTCAGACAGGCGAGAAAAAGGTGAAAGTGAATGAAGAAGGAGGGATGCTGGGTGGCTTGCAAACGTGTACAGCTAACACTCAATGGGAGCCATAAAGGACACAGTATATCCAAGTGAAACGTCATTGTTTCTTTAGCAATTTAATACAATTAAGAAGATAGGATAATCAGTAACAAATATTTGTCTTTCTATATAAAAATATACAATGAGTAGTTAAGTATTAAATGGCATTTCTATCTGGAAAATTGAACTTTTTCATTAGTGAGACTTTATGTTGATTAAATAAACTAAATGGGTGAGTTTTGGAGGCAGTTTATTTTTTTGGTGCCAATAAAACCCTATTAGGAGGACAGCAGGACACAATAAAAATTGATTAAAATTATGTCAGATATTATCAGTGGAGATCTTTTACTACTTAGTAGCTTCCCAGTATTCCACTCAGAAAAATTATTAGGAAATTGGCAATAAACTAGTTCATAAATTTAAGTCTGACTTAAGCCTGACTGTAGCCTTTAGAATTTAGAAATTTTAGTTCCAAAAATCTATGTTCATAAACCTGCTTAACTACTGGCTTGTAGAAAACGCACCTGGGTGGGACTCATGAGGGTCAGACTCCTGAACTGGGTTCTCTTCTTGTAGTGCACCGACGAGACATGTAACTTCACCAGATCTGTGTGACCCACATAAAGTAAGAGTAGAGGTGTGTGCTCTGTCCTCTTTTAGCATTTAAGGCTGTAAATGTTTTTTTTAAATCATTATAGGAAGCTGTGAGAACGCTTAAGAAGGCATTGGATGTCATTTCTCATTCCGATAAAGGACCAAATGCCACAGCAATTTCAGCAGACTGTCTGTATAATTTGGGTCTTTGTTACATGGAGGAAGGCAATTTACAAATGGTATTTCATGTCTTTAAGAGTATAGATTGTGATTTTAGAGACTGGTTGCTTCTATGCTGTTTTGTTTCTTAAGGCCAGCTATACAGTGGGCAACTGGTCCAAAGCTGCTTATGAAGCTTGGTTCATTACAGTCTGTCTGCACCCTACAACACCTAGGACGTTGCTTTATCTAACCAACATGTTTTATTTGTGCTTGCATGTCAACAATATTCTAAAGATTAATGTGTGTTTCCCACCAGAACAATAAATCTAACTGCAGGAAATTATCACAGTAAAATAATTTTATCACATTAGCATGAATTCACTTATTAAATTTTAAGTACTTTGAGTGCTTTAACATGATATATAATAAATGAAAAAGATTACAGCATTCTGGCTTTTCTTACTGATCACTTAACAATTCAAATCAGATTGAAGCTGGTTGTTAAGATGGCCAGATTCACTGAAAAACAGTTGATTCAATTATTACACATTTACCTAGTCTGTAGTGATTTTATGCAATTCTTTACTTCAGAATTGTCACTGATATGAAAAATATGTAAAATAATTGATACTATCCAATGGCTAATGTTGGATATTCCACAACTCCATCTCTAGACAGACAGACAGACAGACACACACACACACACACACACACACACACACACACACACACCATTCGAATCCTTATATTCACGGGGTGGAGTGTTTTAAACTGGTATTGCCATACCCAAAAAAAGAGGTGCACTTGATTAGTTGTTCTATTTAGAAAAGTCAGTAAATATAAGACAAATTACAAATCTTTTACATGTTCTTAGTCCTTTTAAACAACCAGAGCAAACTCAGCTTTGCTTTAAAATGTGGAAAAACATTTTAGAATTCTGTTGTTCTGAAGTTTTATAATGATGCATTTGCTGGATTCTAATGAAAAAATAAATGTGCTGGTTGTGATTTCTTTGACGAAACAAAATCTGAAGAATAATTAAAATTATACCACCCAAATTACTGTAATCTAACAACATGGATTATGTAGCCCTTAGTCTGGGAATGAGACCTTTAATTATAATAATCAACCCTACTTGTTTCTAAATATTAATTTTGTTTTTTTCATGAGGTTCATTAGGAGAAATATGTTTAAAATAATCCAAAAATAGAGTGAAACTTTTCAACAATAATTATATACTATAATTCATTAATATTTTTAAACATTATATTCTATCACTAAATGGTTTGCATTTTGACAATATGCTCCTGCAGGCTTTTGATTCTTTTACAAAAGCAGTGAAAGCAAATCCAGATTTTGCGGAAAGCTTTTATCAACGAGGGCTTTGTAAAGCAAAACTCCACAAGGATAGCTCGATTCTGGATTTTAATTGTGCAATTACCCTCAATCCAAAACATTACCAGGTATTTAAACAGATGTTTTTAGTGAGTTGAAAAGTGTTAGCTTTGGTAAAGCTATTAAATCTTGTATATGCCATTGTTATTAATTAGGAACAATCAGTTTCTTATACCTACTTTTCACTTAACTATATTTTGATAATCCAAATAGTTGTATTTCTCCTTAAACTAAAAGTATTATTTTCATCAATGATATGATATTTATATAAATGTATATGTGAATGTGACATATGTAAATATTATTAATATATTAATGTAGCTATTAATAATTTAAATTATATGTAATCGTTAATTTTACTTTTTGTTTTGATGTTACATAGATTCCTGCCTTTTAATAGACTATACAGACAATGCAAAATTCAATAGGTGAAGCTTGATTGCATCTTGATTTTAGGAATCCATGAAATGTGAATCTGGACTAAATATTAGATGATTTTAGGAAATTTCTATAAATTCTCTTGGGTATATAATGGCAGCATGGTTATGTAGGGGAATGTCTTTTTTTTCACAGGAGATGCATACTAGAGGACATATGGTAAAATATGACCATATCTACAACTTGTTTTCAAATAGTACAGGAAAAAAATAAATATGGAAAAATGTTAATAGTTATTAACTCCAGGTGATAGGTATTTATCATTCCTTCAATTATTCTGTGTCCTTTGAAATTTTTTTTCTAATAAAAGAAATTGAAAAAAAGGGTATATTTTAATACCATGTCGGAAGGCATAGATTTGTTCGAAGTACCCTTTTACTAAAGCATCCATTCCTCCTTTCCTTCTTTCTCTCTCTGAATAGGCATATTTAAGCCGAGTAGCATTCTATGGTTTAAAAGGCAGGTATTCCAAAGCAATCTTGAATTGTAACATGGCTATTAAAATTTATCCTGAGAGTGTGCGTGCCTATCTCTACAGAGGAGTTCTGAAATACTACAACAAGGTAGGACCGCTTTCTACATGGTTTACTGAAATTTTAGGGTGGACAAATTCTCTTATGGTAGGCAGGGGACTCACTTCCTTTTTTTCTTTGTGGTAGGGAATCACTGTGATATAAAGGGCAGAACTAGATAGAAAACTTTACATTTTACCAATTCATATCTTTTTTCACAAAATAATGATATTTTTGATATTTACATTTAAAATAACATTTATTATTTATTTTTATTAAGAAAGTAGCATATATTCATTGTAGACAATTTGGAAAAATATAGAAGGGAGTAAAGGATTATTATCTCACTGTCAATGATAATTTCTGAGTGCATTTGGCATATCTGTATTTAGTCTTTTATTTTCCTCACAATATATTTTCCAAAATTTGGACCATGCTATTTATATAACTTGTGTTGTGCCCTGCTTTTTACACTTAATCTTTGAAGATAACATTTTTCTGACTGCATAATATTTCATCATAATTCATTTTTAATTACTTTATTGTTGAACTTTTTGGTTGTTTTTAAAATTTTTACTATTATACTATTTAATATAGTTATACAACTGAGAACAAAATTGCTTCTTGGGTTTATGATTGGTTCTTAAACAGAAATTACTGGGTTAAAAGATGTGAGCAGCACCATTGATACCTGATACTGCATTGAATACTTTATTTCCCTCTACTTTTCTTTTCTGATCTTTCTTTGTAGCTATTTTATATGAAATATTTTGCAAATAATACCTTAAAGCAAAGGTAAGACCTTGCATTATGTGTTAATTCCATGAAAATTACTATCTATAGAAATGGATGATATAAGGTATCAAAGCAGAATCAAAGAGGAAGCAAAAAAGTACGTGGGTAGAAAACATGATGATTATGTGATACGACAGAGTGAAAGAAGCAAGCAAGCTCTCATGAATGGTTTGCTGGATGAATATGGGTGGGTTTTTTTTTTTAACCGAGAAATATGATTTTCCCCTTGCCATACACCACCATTGGTAACAAGATATTTGCCTAAGTTAAAGTTGTTGATATATTTGTTGAGAAACTATAATGGTGATTTTAGTAATGTTGTTGAGAAACTATAATGGTAATTTCTACCAGGAGATTTTCTTAATTAACTCTGTGAAAGATTAGCTTGAATGTCTTAATTTCACAGAATACAAAAAATGCTTAAATGTGTTTCAAAAACTCTAATAGAAACAATAATTTATTTTATTATTAAAGTTCAGTCCATTATGATTTTCCTTTCTCATCTAATTACTTTTTTCGTTTTAGGCTTATAAGCTGGCAATTACAGATTTAACTACAGCTATCAACATGGACAAAAATAGTTATATAGCATTTTATAACAGAGCATTATGTTACACCAAGATAAGGGAACTTCGAATGGTAAGATGACCATTTTAGTAAATATTGTGTTTAAAGTGTTTAATAAATAACACACATTTAATAGCTTGTTGACCTTGTTCAATAAACATTTAATAAACAATATGTTAAATCACTTGTAAACTCTTAAGGCATTTATAAAGTATTTTCTTATTACTTCTGCTAGAATTTTCAGAAGAAATTCCTAGGAAATACACACATATAAAACTTGAGAAACTCAAGAACCAGTTCGAAGGATATTTAATTTCTTCGTTAGTGCGCACCAAATTTTCTTATGGAATTTCTGAAAGAAGTAAAATGAAAAATTAATAATGCTTATAGAAGCATTTAAAGGCATTTATAAATTAATTACATAATTATCATTTGAATAAGTGTTTCTACCATATGCAGAATTTTTTAAAGCGATAGCAATCGCTAGTAATGTTGTTTCAAAATTTTAATAATAGCTACAGCAGTTTGTGTAGGTATTTTTTTGTTTGGTCTTCAGACTACACATGTAGCAGGGAATATGGAGTGATGGTTTTCAACTCCAGAGACCAGTGACAAGTTTTGCCCCATAGTTTGAAGGCCTGTGGGCTGCTGCAACCCCCTTTTCTCCCCTCCATTTGTCTTGATCCAGCGTCTACCTATTCAAACTCTTGTTTATATTTTCTAATCTTACCTACTCTCTTCTCTCCTCTTGTCGGTTTTGTCCCTTTACAATGAGGATTCCTCACTGGGGAGCAGTTGGTCTGTGGTCTTTCAGTGTCATGTCTCCTTCTTTCTTTGTTTCGTCTCTCTCTCCTTATTTCTGCTCACGTCCATAGTAAATGATGCATACTTTTAAAAGGCTATGTCACATTCCCACTGTTCTGTGTCTACACACTCCCCAGTCTGTGAAACTTGGACAGTGAAATAGGTTTAAAACATTTAAAAATTTAGAAATGTGCAAGCTCTTTTAGAAGGGAAATTGAGAAACATTGTCTCTACCTAAGAGGATATAAAATTCCTGGTAACCAGATTATTAGATTTCCTCCAGAAATGTTGATAAATGAATAATTAATTTTTAAAGGGGATTGTTAAGATGCTAGGAGCTGACTGAAAGATCATTCATTAGAGTGACCTGGACAACAGGGGCCTTTGAGGATTCCCTCCGCAGCCCCATTCCTCCCAGACAGGTAACCCTGAGCAGGAAAACAACAGGCTGGGTGGTGGGGAGAGAACACCCATTGTTTTGTTATCTCAGATATGTGAAAAAGCCAATGCCCTGTTAATAAAGAAAATGCAAAACTACCTAAATCAAGTAAAGCTGAATTGCAATAATAAAATATTGGTGATTTCAGAGCTGCCAGGACTCTGAAGCATTTCATTGAATCTGCTCACTTTACAGATGAGTAAATGGAAGTAGGGAGAGGTTAGAAAACCCATCCAAGTCACACAGAGGGAGTTAGTGACCTGTATTGGTGTCCACACATTTGTTTGCTTCTGGGTTAACAGTGTTTAGATGGCTTTGTAAAACTGCCTGACCTCCAGCATGTGAACTGGATGTCATTAAGCAATGTGTTCCTCTCCCTGTCTGTCTCCCTCCACCTGTTTCTCAGCATTCCTGCCATCCCTAGCCTGAGAAAAACCAAGTAACTTTCTGTAGAAAATGCACTTAGGCATTCTCCCAAGATATAGTTTCATACAAACTAAGCAAAGATGATATTGATATTAATATCATCTTGATATTAATAAAAATAGTGAACAGTCATCACTTATTTAGGGCTTATTGTGTGACAGGAACTGGGCTAAATGCTTCATCGACATACAAGCAAAATATTTTAAAGTAGATCCTTTCGACAATATGATGAATTAATACCCCAGTTTTGCAGATGAGAGAGCTAAGCCTTAGTGTTAAGTAATTTTCCCCAAATTGAGAAACTAGTAGTGATAACAGAGGCATGGCACAAATCCAGGATAGGCCAGGGCCCTGGACCCTCATCTTAATCAAAACCTGTGTACTCCCATCCCTACCTCTTACCGCCATTGACCTTTATGAAATCTTATTCCCCAGTTTTTATTTCCTCTTATGTTGCAGATTCAGCTGCTTAGTGGCTCTCTAAGGCATCATACTGGTTTCAAGTAATGTGATTTAGTAAAAGAAAAATGTTATACAATTTGTGGCTAATATTCTAGGTTTGGTTTTTTCTTTTTTTTGAAAAATATTACTAATAATTTTTTATAGTCCTGGCAATATTTATTTATAATTATGCCACAACGTAACTATAGGATTTTTATTGCACATTTCTTTTTAAAGACATTTGAGCACCCGACATTAGGAAATACCAGAATAGGGCAAATGAGTAAATATAAAATGCTCTTTGTCATTTTCAGTTAGCAGATGCTACAGGCATAACAAGATTTAGCCCTTTTCTGATCAGACCATGTGGCTCTTTTGGACAGAATGTTCAGTAAGAAAATGATTTAAGAGATTCAGCTTCAACCCAAGCTTAGGATGCTTCTAGTATCTGTACAGAGTAGAGACCAGGAAAATCTTGTTTAGTCAGTGAATACAAAAAAATAGAAAAGGTAAAGGTAATGGAGAAGGATCTGAGTTGATTGTCAGATTACACTATGTATCTTTAAAAAAAATGAATATATTGGCTGGGCGCAGTGGCTCACGCATGTAATCCCAGCACTTTGGGAGGCCGAGGCAGGCGGATCACGAGGTCAAGAGATTGAGACCACCCTAGCCAACATGGTGAAACCCTATTTCTACTAAAAATACAAAAAAATTAGCTGGGTGTGGTGCCACGTGCCTGTAGTCCCAGCTACTTGGGAGGCTTAGGTAGGAGAATTGCTTGAACCCGGGAGGCAAAGGTTGCAGTGAGCCGAGGTCGCACCACTGCACTCCAGCCTAGAGCCTGGTGACAGAGAGAGACTCAATCTCAAAAAAAAAAAAAAAAAAAAAGAGAGAAAAGAATATGTTTATCAAAATATTTTGAGGTAATTTTCCTGCAAGTGCTTATTTGCTGGTTTTATTAAGATCTATTTTCATTCATTCATGATTTTTTTCATTTGATACAAATTTATTGAATATGTGGTATGTGCAGGCTTGATTCTTGTTACTGGGCTTAAAACAGTGAACAAAATAGATAAGCTCTGACCTCATAGAGCTTAGATTTCAACAAGGAAAATGGTGTAACACTAAAAGGAAATTAATTTTTTTTTTTTTTTTTTGAGACAGAGTTTCACTCTCGTTGCCGAGGCTGTAGTGCAGTGGCGCAATCTTGGCTCACCACAACCTCCACCTCCCAGGTTCAAGTGATTCTCCTGCCTCAGCCTCCTGAGTAGCTGGGATTACAGGCATGCACCACCACGCCCAGCTAATTTTGTATTTTTAGTAGAGATGGGGTTTCTCCATGTTAGTCAGACTGGTCTCAAACTCTTGACGTCAGGTGATCTGCCTGCCTTGGCCTCCCAAAGTGCTGGGATTACAGGCCTGAGTCATGACGCCCAGCCAGAAACTAAATGTTAAATGAAAATGCGTAGAGTGACTTGCAGGTAAAACATGCAATGCAAGCACAGTGTGCACTGCTTATTGAAAAGTATCAGTGTCCCTGATACTTTTCACCTAAGGGTACCCTTTAAATCTAATATATTATTATTTTGGCCATAAATTATAAAACAAATTGAAGAACTAACGATTGGGTCCTAGTTTAGACATAAATACATTTGTCATAGCCAATGAATTAAGGCTCTAAAGAATTGAATCTATGTTACAAATGATTTTATTTTTAGGCATTAACAGATTATAGTATTGTGCTGCTTCTTGATGCCACAGAAACTGTAAAACTAAATACCTTCATTAATCGTGGACTCATCTACATAGAACTAGGCCAGTATGGCTTTGCATTAGAGGTAAGCCTTCCTGTTGTGTAAAGAACTCGCTTCATTCTGCACATTGACTTCTAAGAACTAGTGAACAAGATTTTATTGTCTCAACTGGCAGTGAGTGATAGCTCAGCTTTAGCAAGAATTCTATTAAAATAATTGAAATGACTGTTAGACTCTTAGAAAAAAATGTATGTTTTTGCTTTGTTCTGGTTACAGATAAATAGACAATACATTTTTTTAAATTTCCAATTTGATCAAAACCATCACTTCTCTTAAGGGAGTACAGACAAAACTCAAGTTACTTAGTAAATAAAGTGATTCCTGTAACGTGAACTCTGCTGTTCAGTGGTAACTTTCTCATTCACAATTTTCCTCTTTTCCCTTTACAACTATATCAAAATAAATCTGTTTCAAACAGGGCAGGAAATAGTTGCTCAGAATGGACTACTGGTAACAGGGTTTTAAGTTAGTGGTGACCAGCATTCAAAATCATACTAAAAGAAAGTACATGTACTGTATCAAAAAGAAACAGGTAGTTTAAAATGTATTTAATTAAAGAATAATTAAAATTCATCATTCTCATTTTTAGCTTTTTATTTTTATTGTCTGTAACTCTGAGATTAAGAAACAGAAGGTAAAAATTAAATAGCAACTTGAGATATATAATTAAATAATAATGGTTTTGCTTCATTTTTGAGGAGCTGCAACCTAACATGTTGGAGTGGAATGTATGCTGTTCTTTTCACCTCCCAAGATGTTTATTTTTCTATTTCTGGAGTCTTTTTTTTTTTTTTGAGATTCTGTCCAACATAATCATTTACCTTTGAGGCAGTTTACACTATGAATAAATGTAATCTCAATGTTTGAAGACCTTTAAGCTTTTTAATATATTTAAAATATTTTTGAGCTATATCACTAGGTATGCCCTCAGGTAGATGGAAGTAAAGAACCTCCCTGCTTGCAGTAGGCAAGAAAATGATGGGCAACAGTTTTGAGGTGGAGAGAGTGAGATAATGGAGGTAGGGAACAAGGGACTGCAGCTGTTAGAGAATTAAATGCAGGATCCATGTTCTCCTCTGAATAAAGATTTATTCAGTAGTAAACAACCACTAAACAACTATTGCACAATTGCTACATACCAGATCCTCAACAATACTGCACAATTTATAATTGTAACTTACAGAGGAGGAAACTGATATTCAAAAGAGATTAAATAAGGTCTTTCCACCAGTAAGTATTGGGGTAATATCTGAACTTGGATCTCACTTGATTCCAAATTCTGTCTTCTTCCAGGCAGGGCGCTGGCACTGATATATGGAGATAAATGAGACAGAGTTCCAGTCTTTGAGGAACTGATGGTCTAGGGAGAGTCATTCTTGTCCCCTCTCTTTCCTCACACCCCGCATCTGACCCATTAGCATGTTCAATCAGCTCTATCTACCTCTAAAGCATATTTTGAATTAAATCATTTCTCATAATGGCCACTGCTATCTTCCTTTCAACCAGTAAGTACTGGGGCAAGAGCAGAACTCAGGTCTCAGAACTGACTCATCTGTCTCCTGGACTACGGCATTAGCTTCCCAGCTGGCCTAAGGTTCCACTCTTGCCCTTCTACATGCTATTCTCTAAACAGATGCCAGAGAAATCTCTTGTAAAAATATAAAGCATATCAAGTTATTCCTTTGCTATAAACCCTCTAATGGCTTCCCATCACATTTAGAATAAAATCTGAACTCTTGACTGTGACCCAGCAAGACCTTACTTGATCTGACTGCCGTTCACCTCTGATCTCACTGTCAAACATTCTCTTCTCTCCTCTAGTCATGCCACCCTGCCCTTTTGCTATTCCTTGTAAATGCTTGGTTCCCTTATTGCCCAGAGCCTTTACACAAGCGAGTTTCCATACATGCAGCACTCTTCCTCCTGATCTGTGCATGATTCATGCCCTCATTTCATTTAGGTTTCTCCTGAAATGTGACCTCTTCAGTCAAAAAGAAACAAGATAAACTAAAATGGAATATTTAAAAAATGTTAAATAAGTCTAGGAAGGGGAAGCAGAGGAACAGAAATGAAGGAAACCAGCAGAAAAGAAATGATAAAATAGGAGACCTAAATCCAACCACTCCAGTAGTTATATTAAATGGAAATAGTCAAAATACAACAATGAAAATCGTGAAATTGCCTGATTGGAATTTTGCGAAAGTTCCAACTATATTTTGGCAACCAGAAACATTTTAGATCTAGTGATATAGATAGGTAACAACAAGAAGCTGGAAAAAGATATGCCACGGAAACATAAATTGAAAGCAAAAAATTCAATTTTTCTCTATGTGAAGTTAAAAAATTAATTAATTTTCAAAAGAAGCAAAGAAGGACATTATATAATGATAAAAGGATCAATGCAACAACAAGAAGAGCTAAAGATCCTAAATACATACGCACCCAATACAGGAATACGCAGACATACAAGACTTATAAAGAGACTTAGACTCCCACATAATAATAGTGGGAGACTTCAACATTAATATTAGACAGATCAATGAGACAGAAAATTAACAACGATATTCAGGACTTGAACTCAGATCTGGAACAAGTAAATGTAACTAACATTTATAGAACTCTGCACTTTAAATATACAAAATATACACTCTTATCAGTACCACATCATATTAACTTAGAAGTTTAAAAGAAATTTTGGTTGGCTCCTTGTTTGCTATTCTCTTCCCTCATTTTCTTTCATGTCTCCATTATTAAGGACAATTATAGGCATACCCATATTTGGACTGCATTCTAGCCCGGGCAATAAAGCAATACCCCCATCCTCTCTCCTTCTTCCTCTTTCTCTTTCTTCCTCTTCTTTATTCTTTAAAAAAAAAATAATAATAATAATAATTAAAACAACAAAAAAAAAAGTAGGACAGAAAAAGCAGCAATGAAAGATATAAGACTGAATAATTAGAGGTTTGTATGAAAAACCAAGAGAAAGCAGAATCTTTAAAGCTACCCAGAAAAAAATAATGGTTTTAGTAGGAAAGATTGATTAACAGAGAAGCTGAGTAGCCGGAGTGCTGAAAACATTAGTTGAGAGCTGTATGCCCTTCATAGGAACACTTTGTTCAGGAAGCATTTGGACTGGAATTGTTTGTGAAGTTAATGGCTAAGTTAATCAGAAGTTAATGGATTAAGAACATTTGTTTTCCTCTTGAAAACCTACCAAGAAAGTAGTAAAAGAATAAAAAAGGTATAATGCTGCAAGGTTAAAGATCGTGGAGAATAGATGTTCAGGCACCCATAACTGCCATTCTGGGTCTAAATGTCTCAAACTTAAATATAAATGGGTAGCCAAGGAGCAAATGCTTAAGGGAAGTGAAATAGAGACTAAGACAAATAAACAAGTTGTCATAAGTATATAGCAGTGGTCTGCAACTTTTTTGGCACCAGAGACCAGTTTCATGGAAGATAATTTTTTCAGGGGATGCAGGTGGTGGGGCAGTAGGGTGATGGTTTAGGGATGAAAGCGTTCCACCTCAGATCATGGGGCATTCATTAGAATCTCATAAGGAGCATGCAACCTAGCATGCAACTGCATACACAGTTCGAAATAGGATTTGCACTCCTGCGAGAATCCAGTGCTGCTGCTGATCTGACAGGAGGCAGAGCTCAGGCAGTAATGCTTACCTGTGACTCACCTCCTGCTGTGATTGAGATGTAGACTGAGATTGAGATGTAGATCTACATCTCATATACCAGGGGCCCCCAACCCCTGGTGGGAGAAAGGGAGACATGTGAAGTGGTGGAGTGAGACAGCTACATTAGTTAAATTCTATTCTGTGTGGCACACATGAGTGACTGTGTGGTTTGTTTTTTATCATTCTTATATTAGAGAGAATTAATGCAGAAGAGAAAAATTATAGTGTTAAATAACAGTAGCTTACTTTATTCTAAGTAATGCTAAAGGCACCTTTTATGTCTGTTGTTGATAATTAATGCCTAATTACCATGTTGTATAATAATGATTATGTATATACAGTCAAGATGACTTTTGTAAGTTTCATCTGATAACAAAACTAAATTTGTTTTAGCCTTTTAAGTTACATGGTCATTGTTGAAACTTCCAGAAGTAATGGAAATATTTGTAATAAAATTCACTTACATTTGTAAGTTTGCTTTAATTTTAGCAAAAAAAAAAAAACTCTCCTAAAGAGACATCTGGAAGCATTTTTATTAAATTATATTTGATTAGACAATAATTAAAAAATTCTTCCAAATAGTTCCATTTGGTATCAAATATGCTACTTGAATCAGTGTGGGGTGTCCACAGCTGCAGATTGGTCTGTGACTAACACCGCCTCCTCCAGCAGGATCTCCAAGTGCTCAGATTAACCTTACCACTCCCCTTCCACCTCCAATAATGGCAGAAAATTTATCTTACCTTCTAAGACAGTCAGCCTTTTCCCTCTGACATAGCCAGGGAAGGTTTGTGGAAAGGAGGAGGAGGGGGAGGGAGAGAGAGTGTGGGTTATGATTAGCTCCTTTCTGGCTGGGTCGTGTTCTTTGGGACTGCAGAGTTCTAATGTCTGGCTTCCAGGAAGGAAGTCTGGATGGATTTCCTTGCCAATCCAGAGGAGAGTGTAATATTCCCCACTGTTCTGCTTGGTCAATTGAGATCACAAGTAATACTGTCCATGAAGATTCCGGCTGAACCAGTCCTCTGGGTAAAAAGCAGGGCTATTTTAATTCCTTCGTAGATTCAGAACTCTTTTAGTAGCCCTTCCTATAGTATAGAAATCATTAAAATGAATCTAACTCTCATATATTAATACATATGTAAATATGCAGCTGACATGATATAATATTTTGTTTTACAGTTATATATTTAAATATTTCCTTAATTTAAAGTTAGCAGTGTTCCTATTTTACTTTAGGCATTGAATATTTCTGCAGGACTCTGAAAGCCGTAAGCTTTAGACACTGTGTCTAGGCCCTGACAGAGGAAAGAGCTCTGGGCTACTGTGACAGGATCTCGTGTGGACTTAGCACTTCCAGTGCTTTTAAACAGCGTCTTCCTAGGGGCCACTGGGATCCTTTCCAGTTGACTTCTCTAACTTCAGATCTGGGGATTAGAGTTTCCATTTCTCCCTCTCAGGAGCACTGATAGACCCTTGACAAAAGAGTTGACTTTTCACCAGAAGTGTGGATTCCAAAGGTAGGAGCAGCCCCAGTGCATCCACACCGAAGGCCTGATTATGCCTTTTCTCCCACCTGGATGCTTGTTTGTCCTGTAGTCATATATTGTCAAAGGTTCTCTCTAGGTGCATTTCCTTTTCTGTCTAGATGGGGAAGTCTTTTGAGGAGTTCACTGGAATAAACAATGGAAAGAAAGTAAATGAGATACCTCATCACCCGTAGCAGGGTAAAACCATAGGAAAAATCCCCATTCTTGAAGTAGAGACCAGTAGTACAAGATTCTGAGTGAGTCTACAATAATGGGTTTCCTTTGTTTCATCTGTTCTTATTTGATGTGATACCACAAGGAAAGTATAAAGCTTTAGGAAGATGTATATCTTAATGCTTATGTCATTGTGGAATCATAGTTAGAAGGAAGTTCAAGATAGCACGTAAGATAATGCTAAAAAATTAACAAAAGCTTATAAAACTATTTCAGGATTTTAAACAAGCTGCACTGATAAGCCAGACTAACGGGAGCCTTTATCACGCCACTGCCATGTGCCATCACAGGTATGGAGTGCAACTGATGTCAAAGTAGAAGCAAGTGGGAACATCGCACTTATCTAATTACCACCCCATAAACCAGCCAGGAGAGAATGGAAGAAACTGGGAGAAATTGTGAATGTGACAGACTACAAAAACGGGGAGGTACACAAGAGTTCTCTGTGTAGACACGAGGACCACACTTAGTGTTCATCAGCACCCTTCTGCCTTCTAATAGACTGTTTTATGCAAATTAGCAGGCAAATGCTTCCATGGTGGCATTGGAGAGAGTCCATCTGATCCAAGCTTAGACACTGGGAACAGATCGTGGCAATATACAGAATGCAATTATGTATAGCTTTAAATATCTAAGCATAAAATAATAACAAAATTTTGTTATTATAAAATAATAACAAAATTTATAAAGTGGGACTAATTTTTAAGAAGTCTCTTTCCTGGAAGAAAGGGTGATTTTAAAAGATTACGCATTTTGAGGAAAATTTTGCATTTAAAACATAACTAAATCTAAAACTAAGTAAAACAACACCAGCAAATATCTACAAAAAACACAATACTTAAAGCATTATTACTTCTTCCTGGGTTTATTATAAAAATTCGTTATAGAAGAGATGAGAACACTTATATAAGGTTAAAATATAGAAGATAATCAGCTTAAAATATACTCTGAAATAATACTCTAGCATATAGACTTTGCTAGCCATAATGTTTAGTGTTTCTAAACATATATTTGACATCATAAAATTAACTTTTGGTAATTTTGCTTTTAAAATTATGGAGATTCAGCCTGTGAGGATTTTAATATGTGATAAAATATATTTGGTTAAATAATAGTTTACAGCTTTTTTGCCCCTAAGAAACAAATAATACCAGTAAATTTGGAGGATTAAATAAGAATAGTTCCAAATTATGTAGACTAGGCTGCATAAATATCCAGTTTAGAGAATAAAACATAGTTTCAATTGTTTAGGAAATTGACCTCCTTTTCTCTTTGAGGACATGTTTAGTACAGCTGCATTTTCCTATGAGAGTTACTTCTGCTTTTTAAAAAAATGTTATGAGCAGAGTAATACCATAACTGGAAGTTCTGAAAAGTATCTTTGTGTTAAAAGACCTAAACTGGCCTCAGACCTTTCATTTTGTACAGACAGCAAAACACTGGTCATACCATTTCATTGTCTATTTTAATCTAGCAACCTTTGTACAATCTATCTCTTTAAGCAATTGTCATTCTTAAGAAGAGATGGGATAACGATGACTGATGTGTTTGTTTTGGTGTGTGGGTGCAGACCAAAAATGTCTGAGGTCGTTGCATTCTGTTAAAACTAAAAACAGACTCCAAAACTACTCTTTACCTCACTCCTATGTTTAGCAACCATTAGAGCCAGTAAATTTCTCCATGTGTCAGTTCACAATCTCCTTTATGAAATGTAATCACTGGGTATATATGGGAGAGCCTCCTTTAAGCTGTTACTGCTTTGCAATTCCAAATAACCAACTTTCATCACCCGACTAGAATCTCTATTGTCCTTTAATAAAAGTAGAATTTAAATCAAACTGTAAACCTCTGAAAACTCAAGAGTCCCAATTCCATGTGTTTTGAGTTCTAAGTTTTGCTGAATTTAACAATAAGGAGTGCTTAGTGATTGGTTATATTTATTTCAGGAAAAATATTTTTTTTGCTTTTCAAGGTGAGCTATAACATCCTTATACCAGAGATGCATGGATTCTAACTATAGAGATTCATTCCTGGTGTGTCTTACAGTAGGGAGAGTAAACATTTTCTCATAATGGAAAAATTATTTAAAGAAATAAATTTTTAAATTTTTAGGCTTTGATCTTTGATCTCACGGGGTTGCAGACTTTTAAAGTATCCTTTGTATATCTCTGGTTCTCACTCTTGTGGTTGCTAGGAAACAACATTCCTTAGGCTTGAATATCCTACTTGTTGCCCAATTTAGTCACCATGAGTGTTTATGGTAGAGTTAATTTTTAGAACTGAGAACACCACCTTCATATTTCAAAAAATAATATCATAGAGGGAGATTACTCAGAGTTATATATCCTATCTACTTTTTGCTTCAGCACATTTATTTTACTATTCTTACATATTGGGGCATAAAATATTTTTGAGTCTTTAACTCTTCAAGCCAAATTCTTTAGTTTGAGGAGGGATTTGTGATTTATTTATACAACTCAGTAGAGCACATCTGGTCACGTATGTGATTAATTTGGAAAATGCAGTGGGCCTTTGTGTCTGTGGCCTAGTGAACAAGCTCAGCACATGATTGCTTGTTCACAAAACACTGTAAGTAGAATCATACACCTCCAGTAAGTGATCATAGTGCTCTAGATTTATGTGAACACATTTCACTTTAGAAAAACTCATTTAACATACTTTGACACTTGTGGTAACTGATACTTAATAATTAGTATCTCAATGAATAGTGTATCCTGACAGAATGTAGATATTCTGCCACATTTTCCCACTGGCTAACTGCCATGCAGGTACTTAACAAGGGCTTCAACCTGTAGGACACTGTGACAGACGCATATTCAGAGAAATGAAATTACTGTTTCTACAGTGGTATCTGCTCATTTTGTTTTCCTAGTCTATTGGTGTAGCAGGCTGGGGATCTTCTGATTTTCAGCCCTTTCACCTCCCTGGGCTTGATTTTAGTCACCATCAGCTTTGAAGAGTTTGCTAGATGTCTTTCAAGATTTCTTTTCAGCTTTAAGATTTAATGATTATTTACTTGGTCTGAACAGACTAGATGCTCATTAAACAGTGCTGATAACTTGATGGGTACAGAAAAATAGCTTCAATCACTGCCATTCTGTAATTCACAACTTAAATGACATGGTGGTGAGCTTTAGCTCACTGCGTCATTTTTCTAATTGGTTAGGTTATACAGAAGGAAAGATCGTATTTCATAAACCATATATCAGAACATGTACTCACAAAGGATTTTTAATTTCTCTGGGTAAGAGGGGCCAGGGTGTATGATGCAATTTGGATGTCAGTGTGCTAGGGGCATTTCAGTGAATTTAGGGGAGAATAGGAGAGAAGGGGATTTCCCAGGAAATGTCCATTGACATGGTCACCATAGGTATTCATCCTAAGTAAAAGCTTCACTACCCATAGATAGAAATACTGAACACAGCAAAACCTATCAACTAAATGCATTTTACACAGAATGACTGTGGTCTAATTCCTGATAAGGAATTTGTTATGCTGTAGTTAGAATTATTACTGTACTGCAGTGAGATGGCACTTGGAAAGGCAAAGTGGACTTTTATTTTTATTTTTTGAGAAGGAGTCTCACTCTGTTGCCCAGGCTGGAGTGAAGTGGTGTAATCTTGGCTCACTGCAACTTCTGCTTCCTGGGTTCAAGCAATTCTCATGCCTCAGCCTCCCAAGTAGCTGGGACTACAGGTACATGCCACCATGCCCGGCTAGCTTTTGTATATTTAGTATGGATGGGGTTTCACCATGTTGGCCAGGCTGGTCTCCATCTCCTGACTTTAGGTAATCTACCCTCCTCGGCCTCCCAAAGTGCCAGGATTATAGATGTGAGCCACTGTGCCCAGTCCGAACTTTATTTCTTAAATAGTGCCAATTATCAGGAAAGAGAGCACCGTTCCATTGTAAACTGCTTGAGGAAAGTGACCTTGTGTTCAAAAGGCGGCAACTGATGTTAACATGCTGATGTTAACCTTTGCCTGCCTGTGTTCACTGTGGATTGTTGCACCATATTTGGGAAAACATGGAGCAAGTATCACAAGTACCTGTTATTTTTCATGGTGTGGACAAGCATTAAAAAAAAATACTGAATCACATTATGAAAAACCGAATTGCCTTTCAGTTTCAAAATGAATTCTTTCTCAAACCTTCTGAATACATCAAGGAGAAAGTCTCAGTTAAGAGCTAGTCTTTAAAAATTTTCTGTTTGTAATCAGTGGTGCAGCAATCAGGCTCAGTTTTCTGCAGAGTAAAGGATCCAGCTCCAAGCTTATTATGTTATTTATGGCGTCAGATAATTTTTCAACTTACGGTATTAAAATTAATATGCTTTTAAAAATAAATTTAGTTAAGTAAATAAAATGAGTTGACTTAAAATATTCAGTAAATGATAGTGTAGGTGGAACGTGGGGCAATTTTATGAAGGAAGGGGTAGTTTGGGAAACACTGGTTTAAAAGATACTTTTGAGTAACCTCTAGAAGATGATAATTTCTGAAACAGTTTATCCTGGGTTCCATGTATTTTATAAAGGAAAAATGGGCAAAGTAGTGATGCATATTATTAAAATTTGAAACCTGTTTGAGCAGTAATGAAAAGAATGGAAGGAAGATATAATCTATTGGATTTCTGTGCTCAGTGCTCTTCACATGTTTTTGTTTGATCCTCGTAACAATCTTGAAAAATTAATATTAATTTGCATGTTCAGGCTCAAGTCTGAACTCCAGGCCTTTTTTTCTGGCTACCCGGTTGAGTTATCAGATCACTGGCTCCTTTGCACCAACCACAGGTATATTATAGGTGCAGAATATGTGGTAGAGTTGGCTGTGTGGAAAAGCATGGATTTTGGAATAAGGCTTACCTGAATCTCAGTCATTTTCTCTGTGCATAATATGTTAGTATACCGTCTCCTGTGGGCAGATTTTTCTAAACCATGATTTTCTTTTCATCTGTAAAATGTAGATAATTATAAGTACCTTACAGAGTTGTTGGAAGGATTAAAGGAAATAGCATTTGTTAAGTATTTAGCACAGTACATGGTAAGTAAACAGTGCTAGTTTTGTCATTCTATTTTTTAAAATGCTAAACTCTCTCCATGTTAATTAAAACTAAATATTATTATTAGATATACATATGAAATAGAGAATTATTTTATATGCCAATCAAAAAATATGTGATGCCTTTAACAGCCTTAACCTCCACCACAAGAGAGTAATTAGGGAGGATAGAGAGACAGAGTTATCATTTAGCCACATACATTCACAAATTTGATAAATAAAATGCATTTTACTTCTTTCTCTCCCCTCCTCTCCTGGTGTCCACAGTGAAATGGTCTGCCTTTATAGGATACCTGAAGTAAGGACTTCCATGTGATGAAAATCTGGCTGTTTTCATTGTATAAGGAAATATTAAATACATAAAAATAAGTTTATTTTAATCTGATTTTAAAAGTAGATTTCATCAATTGTAGCATGTGTTTCTCTTTACTGGTAACTGATACCTGTTAAAAACATATTTAGAAATGCCATGTGGACCTTAATAACTTGAAATAAATCCGGAATATTATCTCATCACATTCTTCTATGAAAATGACTCTTTCTTGCCATCTTTCCTTTTACCAAAATCTTCAAAGACCCATCACACTTCCTTAGGCCCTATGGACTGATGTGCTTACCTCCTTCAATGGGTAATAGAAATGCAGATTTTTTTATGAGTCAATTGAAATCTTTATGGAAAAGCCAGATACAGGAAAACATTGCATATGTCACCAGAATGCATCAGTTTACCAGAGGCATTAATATTTTTATTTATTTGCAGAATTAATGAGTTTGAAGAAGCCGTCAATTTCTTTACCTGGGCTCTTAAAATTAACCCATGTTTTCTGGATGCTTATGTTGGAAGGGGAAATTCTTACATGGAATATGGTCTTGATGAAGCCACCAAGAAAGCACAGAAAGACTTTCTGAAAGCACTGCATATTAATCCAGGATACATAAAAGCCAGAATTTGTTTGGGTTATAATTTACAGGTAATATAGCAACATTTTGAGCATTAAAAGCATCCTTTGGGAAAGAAGAATATATTTGACCCTTTCCTGGCAATGGGAGTATATGTTATTTCTTTGATTATGAACATTTACTTCTTCCTTATGTTTGGGTTCCAGAATAGTATTGGAAGCAGGGGATTTCATTAGTTATAGAGAACCTGCCTGGATCTGGATCAGTCTGGGGAGCTGGTAGCTGGTTAGATGAAAATCTTTTGAACCTGCGTTTCCTTTATGTCTACACTCCTCCCTACCTTCCTCCTACACTTATAAACAACTTTTAAAATTTGCCTGACGAAGTTCATTTTTAAGAACCTGAGTAGCATTTATTTTACTAGCTTGTATACCTAGGCTCCACAGGTTTTGTCCTATTGCTTTAGTGGAAAGCTAAAGGGAAGAAAATTAGCCATTATTGGATCACAGTAGAAATTTGCCAAGTCCACTTAACGAGACTGATTTCAAAGGCAGCTAGAGCTGAATGCAATCCAGTGAAATATGTTAACATCATCATCATTCATTGCATTCAACAGACATTAACTGAGCACTAAATATAGAATGGAAACTACTCTAGGCCTGAGGATATAGCAATGAAGAAAATATACTTTCTTCTTCTTGCAGAGTTTACTACCCAGTGGAGAGATAGGCACCAAACAATTAATTGTATGAATAATTGATTATAATCATGATAAGTGCAGAAAAGGAAAAGGATGAGTTTTAGTATAACTTGTCACAAAATCACTTGTCACCTCTCTTTGTTTGAGAGGTGAGAGAAACTTTTTGAGAAATTAACAATGTTGAGGTGTGAAAGTAGGGGCTGTGGCTAAGATACAGTGTTCCATAGAGTGGAATCAGCCCATCAGAAAGTCTTGTTAAAAAGAGGGTCAAAGTGGATGGAATGTTATGGGCAAAAGGAGCAGGGTTTGAGATGAGGCTGGAGTTGAAGGCCTTATGGTCCAGTTAAACATGTGAATAGCATTAATAGGAGATGTGACAACAAATTTACATTTTCTGAATATCCCACTGGGTAAATAGCAAGCTGAAAAAAATTGAAAAACACAGCCATGTAAAGAATTGAGTCAGGAAGGAGGACTGCAAAAGGAGAGTTATACCCATCTGAGTTCTGTGCGGGTAAAGAGCAACAGTTTATTCAACAAATACTTACAGATCCCCTTACTATTTGCCTAGCACTAGAAATACAGAAGTGAGCACAACAGATGTGGTCTGGAGCAGATGACAGAGTTCTTACTGTGAGGCAGTTTGCTATTTAATAGTCTAATAATCTAATCTCAATTTGCCTGATTCCTTGTTTGTTAAATGAGTTTGCATTGACAGTGTGGCTTTACAAATGGTTTACCCAGAGAGAGAAGATTTGATGGTCAAGAGACAGGGTCTTGTTCCCTTAAGAGTTGTATTTTTTTTTTTTTTTTTTTTTTTTTTTTTTTTTTACTTTTATGTGAGAGCCCCTAGGCTCAGCTTGGTTAAAGTGAGTCAACTTCTGAGATTCTGGCAAGATGGATGTTTGAGCCCATCGGGAAAAAAAGATAGATTCCAGACTCTACTGAATTTATTAACTCACTGCCTTCTTGTGGAGGCGTTTAGTTGCCAGCTGGTCTTCTCTAGGAAGCACTCTGACATTGTTCTATTGACAATGCCCCTCTCCTGATCTTTTCTTTCTTTTTCAGTTGGTATAAACAGAAGCTCAGTAGATTTACATGTATTTTTCATGGAATGCGTATAGTGACCCTAAAGCTCCAGATGCTGGCATGATTTATCAGAATATATAATACCATTAGTTTATTCATTTATTATTTAATACATATTTATTTCATTATGCATATTATGTATATATTATCTATAACTGGAGATTCAGTGCCAAGGAAATAAATACAATCCCTTCCTGTGTGTGTGGAGCTCTATGTGAATTTTTTGGTGTTAGTCAACACCATTGGCCTTTCACATGGTAGCCATGATTTTATGTTGTCCAGGATTGGTATAGATGAGGACTCTGAAGTTAAATTGATTTTAATTAATTAAAATTTCTTCATAAATACTCAGATGTAATGAGTCAACTAAATACACCACAGTATCCATTTAGTATACCTATTTTCTGGTTTCAAATAACTTATATTTAGCACAGCATAAATATACCCTTACTAAAGGTTTTATTTGATTTAGTCAGAATCATAAACATTTGTCATGTGAGGGACTATTTTCTACTTTGTGTAATTGGAAAATTATTCTAGATCCAAGGAAAATTCCAGAAAGCTTGGAATCACTTTACCATTGCCATGGATATTGATCCAAAGAATTACTTAGCCTATGAAGGAAGAGCTGTGGTCTGTCTTCAGATGGGTAATAATTTTGCTGCAATGCAGGATATTAATGCTGCCATGAAGGTAAAAACCATCTTAGATTATATTATTATTAGCATAAATTAACACTGTCAATGAGTAGGTTCACGTAACAAGTCTTTGTTAGCTTTTTAAAGTGACTTATGGAAAAAATAATGTTTTGTGTATTTTTTATGCAAGTGATCCCTATAGCGGAGTTATTTCTTGCCAATTTTATAATCTAAATGCACTAAAACCCTGAAATCCTGCTAAACGTTGATTGTACTCAGTAAATATGCTTTATACTTTCGTGGGACATCAATATTATTATGTAATACAGAGCAAATGCATAACATAAAATAACGTTCTAGGTTTGAAGGAACTAAAGAAAGAACAACGTAAATCCCTAGAATCTTCCTTCAGTGAAATGACAAGTAAAAATCTCATATTGAATGCACTGACAGGAACTCTTCTTTACTTCTAGCTTTTGGGTTTTGTTTCCATAGATTTGGGCAGATGTAATGTTTGAGATGAGAAAAAGGAAATAACTGAAAGATAATTGCTACTACACAGGACAAATAAGCCTGTTAACTATTCAATTTAATTTCTTCTCTAGCTTAACAGCTAAACAGATAAGCTTTTCCACTTTGTCTATTCTTTGGAATGGAACTGAGTGAAAAAACACTATGATTATTTGTTTTATTGCAACCAAATCAACAAAGTGTTGACATTGAACCAACTTCATACCAACGCCTTTCTCAAAATATTTGTTCTACTGGGGTTTTACATGCACCATAAAATTACGAGCTTCCCACAAGTAGATTCCATAATGTTCATTTTGGCAGACATGAAATCAGAGATAAATACTATTCCTAGATGTTAAATAATCATAATATTATACTGCAGATCAATACTACAGCAGAATTCTTAACAAATCGTGGTGTGATTCATGAGTTTATGGGCCATAAACAGAATGCAATGAAAGACTATCAAGAAGCAATTTCTTTAAACCCCAAGTACTCGCTGGCTTACTTTAATGCAGGAAATATCTACTTTCACCACAGGCAGTTTTCCCAGGTAATGTGAGTTTTACTTAACACTTTCTTTTTGACTTTAAATGCTTACTTTATTATATATAGTTTCAAAATGTAATTTGTACAGTCTCAGGCTAATAATGCATTGGCTATCAGCTCTTTATTTAAAATGTTATCTTTCATAAGAATGTTCATAATTTATCGATTAAACATTTATGTCTCTATGGATTTAGTCTCCTCCTTTAGTTTTAGTATCATCAACTAACACTTATAAACATTTGTTTCTTCTTTTATATTTTATTATAATAAATGTCTTGCTAAAATCTTACTGAGAGATAATTGACATACAACAAATCACACATACTTAAAATGTACAATTTGTTGTCTTGACATAGTGTACACCTGCAAAATCGTCACTACAAATAAAGATAATAAACGTATCTATCAGCACAAGTTTTTTCATGTTCCTTGATATTTTATTCTTCCTTCTCTGAAAAATATGAAATGCTTCATGAATTTGCATGTCATCTTTGCATGGAGGCCATGAAATCCTCTCTATATCATTCCAATTGTAGTATATATGCTGCCGAAGTCAGCATCCAATAAACATTCTTTTGGACTTCCCCAAGTGTGAGGACTTGCCTTGCGATTCCTATTGTCACAGTCTTCCAGCCTAGAGTCTTCTGTTCTTTCCCCATTTAGACTTCCTTCAAGGCCCTCCTTATGATTACCTAACTCACCTTAATTTATGCCTTTTCCAAATTTTGCCATGGGAGCACTTGACTGGGAGTAAAAAGACTTGGATTTTAGTTCTGGCTTTGTGTGACACCTTAATCTCTTTGGACTTGAATTCATAATGTCTGAAACAAAAATGATGGGTCATTAGATAATGGTATTTTCTATTTTTTGAACTTGCATTTACACGATTCAACCTCTTAATTTTTAAATTTTTGCTTTTTATTTATAGTCACTCATTTTTTTCTGCTTTCCTTCAATTTATCTTGTTATTCTTTATTTTTTTTGAGTTGGAAGCTTAATTAATTTATTTTCACCCTTTCATTTATATCATAATAAGTTATTAAAAGTATGCCTTTTACCTAAGTACTATGTTGGCAGCATTTCACGTTTTACTCTGTAATGTTTGCTTGTTTAGCTCTGGTAAAATACATATAATATAAACTTTACCATCTCAACCATTTTTAAGTGTACGTTTCAGTAGTAAATATATTCTGTAATGTTTTTATTCACGTTTTCCCCAGATTTTGCACCTGTAATTTCTATTTCCCGTTTGACTAAAGAAGAAATTAATAGGGCATTTAACCAGATGGAAAGACATTTCTATTTTCTATATTTTTTTAATTATTGAGTTTTAATGTAGCCTAATATTAATTTTTTTTTGTCAGGGTCATTCCAAAGAAAGAGTACTATATGTCAGGGTTTTTCCAAAGAAAAGGTATCTACTATCACAATGTGGATTTAAATCTGTATTTATACAGTCTACGTTATTAACTGGTTCACGTTTGTACTTTTTGTTTACTTGGTTTATCTTGGACCGAGAGATTTATTCAAATATGCTGCTATTAGGGGATTCCTATGTAGTTCTCTTTACATCTCTTATAATGTCTGCTTTATTAATATTGCTGCTATAATATTTCATGATAGATATTTATACCTATTACATATGCATTGTGAATTATAGCCTTCAGCATTACAAATTTCCTCCTTCATTTCTTTTAATGCTCTGTGAAACAAATTCTCTTTTGTGTGATAGGAGGATCATGACCTCTAATACCTTCTGATTTGCTTTGCCTGGTATTCCTTTGCTTTTCCTTTTATTTTCAACTTTTAAAATCCTTTGTTTTTGGTATGTCTCTTTTATATAGTATAGAACTGGATTTTATTTTGAGAGCTAATTCGAAAATAGTTTTCTTTTAATAGGCAAGTTAAGCCCATTTACATTTTGGCATAATCAATACAATGTTACTTTATGTAATACAGATGTGTTTATGTTCAAAGTCTCTGGTTTCTTATTTGTTGGCTTTTGTTCAGTTTTTGTGATATTTAGGAAGCTTTATAGTTTTGCTGTAGTGGTTATCTTTATAAAAATGCCTTTAATGTGCTTAGTTTCTCTACTATGAGCAACAATAAAATTAACCCGTAAACTCCTCCTTCCTCTCATCCATTATTCCATTTTAATTCGTAGTATTCTTTTTATTTAAGTTTATCCTTGTATTCTTTAATATACTTGAGCTTATTATGTCAGCTTTTCGCATAAACTTACTTTCCACAGTCTCTTGAGTATAAAAATTGGTATCAATTAAGGTGAGTTAGATAATCACGTCGTGAGGAGAGTCTTGAAGGAAGTCTAAGTTGGGAAAAAAGCAGAGGATTCCAGGCTGAAAGCTGGTGACAATAGCTAAAGCAAGACAAGTGTTGTCACGTAGGGGAAATCCAAAAGAATAATTACTGTGTGTTCACTTTGGCAGCACATAAACTAATTCTCCCATTTTGTTTTAAGTTTTATTATTTCTACACTGCCTGAAGATTTAATATTTATGTATTATTTTGTTACTCTTATTGCACATTTTAGTCTTAGTTCTTCAGTTAAGTATATTCAATTCTCATCACCAGACTGTCTGCCAAACTCCTCTTCCCCACAATAATTGCTTAGTTGACTAAAATTAGTCTTCTGGTCAAGTTCTGGAAGGGGCTCCTGAGAACAATATTCCTTGGATTTTTGCATACTGATATCTATCTGCCTGTAGCCTGTTTTATAGCTTAAGACATCATTTTCTTTATTTGAGTGTCTTGTTAAGTGCCATTTTCTTTTCTGGTGGTGTATGTTGGTGTCAAGCAGTATAATGCAAACTGGATTTTCTTTCTCTTATAAACAACTTGCTCTTTTTATCAAGATAGCCACATTTGTTTTTTAAGGAAAAAGTTTTACCAAAGTATGCCTTAGAGTTGATCACTCGGGGTAGGGGTGGGGTAAATTTATTAAGTGCCTGTTTTCAGTATGTAGATTTCAGATAAGTGTTGTTGACTACTTCACTTACCATTTTTTTTTTTTTTTTTTCTGTTTCATTGTTCTGATTTTCTTTACTGGGGATACCAATTAGATAGATGTCATGTATTCTTTAACTTTGATTTATTCTCAACATTTTTTAAAAATTTCTCAATTTGTTTCATTTTGCCTTCCTTTTGTATTTTTTTTCTAAATCATTATACTGTTTCCTGAGATATCTGTTATCCCTGTGGACCTCATAAGTTATGTTTTCTTTTTATTTTATTTTTCTAGTTCTATCCTATTTCCATGCCAATTTTTCCTGGTCACCTCTTTTCTGGGTTCCTATATTTCTGATTCATTTTTTCTTGATGGCAATTGTTCTCTTAACATATTTTTTAAGTAAATTTTTTAAATTGAATTTTTTTGAAAAACTTTTTTCAAAATCATTTTATTTCAAAATGTTATATTTTTATTGATACATACTAATTGTACATATTTATGGGGGTACATGTGATATTTTGATACATGCATACAATGTGTAATGATGAAATCAGAGTAATTGGAATATGTATCACCTCAAACACTTATCATTTCTTAGTGGTGAGACCATTTCAAATCTTCTAGCCATTTTGAAATATATAATAAATTATAGCTATAGTCACCCTACTGTGCTATCAAATACTAGAACTTATTCCTTCTATGTAACTGTATTTTTGTTCCCATTAACCTACCTGTCTTCATCCCAACCCCTACCAACCCCTCCCAGCCAATGGTGATTTTCATTCTACTCTCTATGTCTATGAGACAAATTCGTTTTTTATTTAAGCTTCCAAATATGAACAAGCACATGTGTTGTCTTTCTGTACCTGACTTATTTTGTTTAACATAATGTCCTCTATGGTCACCCATGTTTCTGCAAATAATAGGATTTTATTCTTTTTAATGCCACAATAGTATTTCATTGCATATATGTAACAGATTTTTTTAATCTATTCATCTGTTGATGGACACTGAGGTTGATTCCATATCTAGGCTATTGTGAATAGTGTTGGGACAAACCTGGGAGTGCAAATATTTCTTTGATATACTGATTTTCTTTCTTTTGGATATATATACAGCAGTGGAATTGCTGGATCACATGATAGTTCTGTTGTTTTGAGGAAACTTCATACAGTTTTCCATAATAGCAGTACTAATTTACATTCTCACCAACAGTGTACTAGAGCTCCTCATTCTCTGCATTCTTGCCAGATGTGTTGATTTTTGCATTCTTCTTTGCTTTTTTTTTTTTTTTTTGACAATAGCCATTTTAACTGGGTTGAGATAGTATCTTATTGCGGTTTTGATTTGGATTTCTCTGGTGGTTTGTGATGTTCAACATTTTTTAATGTACCTGTTGGCCATCTGTATGTCTTTTCAAATCATTTGCCCACTTTTAATAGGATTTTTTTTTTTGCTGTTGATTTGTTTGAGTTCTTTATATATTCTAGTTATTCTTCATTGGATGAATAATTTGCAAATACTTTCTTCTATTCTATATTTTTTCTCCACACTCTGTTGATTATTGCCTTTACTATGCAGCAGATTTTTAACTTGATACAAACCCACTTGACTGTTTTTGCTTTTGTTGCCTGTGCTTTTGTGGTCTTAACTCTCAAAAAATCTGTGCCATATCAATCAATGTCCTGAACCATCTCTGCAATGTTTTCTTCTGTTAGTTTTATGGTTTCAGGTTTTACAGTGAAGTCTGTAATCCATTTTAATTTTATTTTTGTACATAGTGAGAGACAGGGTTCTAGTTTCTTTTGTTTGTATATGGATACTCAGTTTTCCCAGTTTTGTTTATTTGGGTCTCTTCTATTTTTTTTGTAGTCTATTTATCAGTTTTGTTTACCTTTACAAAAATGTAACTTTATTATATTGATGTTTTGTATTTTTTAAGTCTCTTTCACTTACTTCTGTTCTGATATTCTTTCTTTTTATTAATTTTGGGTTTGATTTGTTCTTGCCTTTTTAGTTTTATGGGGTGCATTATT